CTCAAGAAAACCATGAAGAACAATTTCCATACCATAGAAACTTTTTTCAGAAGTCACATAACTGTACGTGCTTTGAGTCTCACAGTTGGCAAGTTCAGAGACTACATGTTAAGGTTTGAATACTCAGTGACTCATATGTTCAATGCTGTGCCACTGTAAGTGTTGAAAACAGCTCATCAGAGAAGAGAAATTATCCAATTAATATAAACCACTTTATTAGGTGAGTCACACAAACGGCACTTGTGTTTTGCCCAGAAGCTAGAGTTCAGTCGCATCAATTCCACACCAAGCTGTTTTCTACTCACATCCATTCCAGAGGAGCAAGTCCTGCCAGTTTCCTCCAGCTCAGTCTATTAACGGACACAAGCATGAAAGCCTTTTCTTAGAAACGGTAGCAGAGCTATATTTGCTTTTATACAAGGCTGTTTTGAAACTTGCATGCTCCATTATGCTAAGCAAAATATCCTTTTTCAGGATTCCAAAAGCAGTAGATTTTTAAGCAGCCTACTTCAGACACTGTAAGTATTTGAAATGGACTCTACTTTGTCATACAAAGAGATTAAAATTTGTCTCCCCCTACCTTATCAAAGCTGCAATGCGAAACAATATCTGAAATATTTCATACACATAATTCATATACTTTATTTCCATCTACAAACTAATATATAACAAAATACTGATTTCAAATTTCTAATTGTCTACTAGAGTATGAACTACCTAAAGCCAGGGGTTATATCTGCTCATCTTTCTGTCTACTGCACATTGAGAATACAGAGCATAAAGCATCCTTCAGTGAAGTTTTCCATTAGCCATGCTTTGTACAGTAATGAGTCTGTCCATAGTATGTTTATAATGTAACTTTTTCTTGTTTATAAATACTACATACCCTCAATTCTGTGAGTATAGCTGATAAGCTCTGAACAGGCTGGACATCTATAGGATCAACTGTTAGCTCTTCAATTACGAAAAAGAACTACCTGTTACCCTGGAGAGTGATCAAAAACAGGCAGATTCTAAAAGAGGGTAAAGATTTAAATAAGAAAACAGCCTAGGGTGAACTGACTCATTTTATAGATTGCAGCCTGAGTGGCAGAATTTGAGGTTGAAATATTAAGAATGGAATACTAAAAAAGACAGAGTTGGGATCCACAAAGTTTTGCAAATAAAATCTGCTAAAATCTCTGACTGACCCCTCTGAAACATGTATGCCAAAAATTAAATGCAGAAGTCAAACTAAGAAAAGAATTAGATGAGGTCTGAACTCCAATTAAACAGAAAACGTTAGCAGCCTGAGTCGGCAGTGGCATAGTAGTCAAGGTGGTTGGATCCCACACAGTTACTATGGGGCTGAAGTTCCAGACCCCAGTGGCTTGAAATATACACTGAGCATGTGTACATGCCTGCCCAAAATCCGTAAAGAAGAAATAGAGGAGAATGGATTGCAGCATTGTCATCCCCCAATGGAGAGTGCTTTCTCTCTTTTTCTTTCTCTCTCCAGTGAGTACATACATCCTTTGTTTAATTAAAAAGAAAACAAGAGAAAAAGTGCAGCCTAGATCCAACCAAGTTAATTAACCACCAAAACAAAAAATACCAACATCCTTCAAAGGAATAAAATATGCTCCAGGGTTCCCACAATGTACATTCACAATATCCAGAATACCATCCCACATTACTTAACATGCAAAGAACTGGAGAAAAATGACTCTAGCATGATAAGATAAACAAATACAAACATACATACACACATATATGCACACAAAAAAATCATTGCAGATTAAGTCTAAGATAGAATTAAAAGAGATGTTCAAGTACCTTTTAAACTGTACACAATTATGTAAAGGAAAATAACACCCATGATAAATAAAAAGAAGAAAACCCCAAAAGAAAAAAATATTTCGCACATACATATGACTCTATCAGCTGATGCAACAAATTTACCTAATGAGGTTAAGACCAAAATGAAGATGCACAGGAAAGAACCAAGATTAATACACAACAGTAGAAATTATCCAATTATTTTTTAAATAATTATTTTATTTAACTTTTTAAAAAAATTATTTTATTGTTTATTTTTATTTGGGATAGAGTGAGTGAGAGAAAGAGAGAGAGAGGGTAAGCGAGAAAGCAAGTCACCAAGTTTGGGATTCGAACCGCAGTCACCATGTGGGAGTCCAGGGCCCTTAACTACCATGCCATCTGGCCAGTGCCAAAATTATCCAATTTTAAAGTGAAAAACAAAAATTACCAAAGTAAACAAAGTCACAGGAACCTATGGGAGAATAACAAAATGTTACATATATGTGGGGACTTAAAAGGTTTGTGGAAAATGAACAGGTTTTTTTGTGCTGCCAAAAAATTTGGAAAGCCATGCATAATTCTTTTCATAATAAACATTTTCCATGAACTTTTTGAAGAACCCCCCATAGGTAATTTAAATCTCAAAAAAATAAAAAGAGAAAGGGTAAGAAATAGTATTTGAGGAAGTAATGCTGAAATATTTTAGAGAAATAGGCAAATCTATCAAAAAACACAAACTTTTATGAAAGATAAATAGGAACTCTGACTAATGCCATAACTCTCAAAGATACTGAATTCATCATCAAACACCAGACCCAGATGGCTTCGCTGGTGAACTGTATCAAATATTTAGGAAGAAGTATACCAATTTGACATATATCCTTTGAGAAAAAAGAAAGAAATGTCCCCTATTCATTGAATGAAATCAACATAACGCTGATAGTAAAATCTTATAAAAGTATTATTAAGGGGCTAGCAGGTGGCATGGTTATTATTAAAGTTGCTGGACTTCCATGTGGCTAACCATGGTTCAATTCCTGGACTTGGTGGTTTGCTTTCTCACTTTCCATCTCTCTTGTTCTGTCCTTTTCTGATCAAATTCAAATAAATAAGCAAAGTTAAATAAAATGGTTCTTTAAAAAAAGTATTATTAAAAAATGTATAGGACAGTATCACTAAAACATAGATTCGACTGAATCTGTAGCAATATATAAAAAGATATAGGATTTAACTCATGAATACAACTAACATTTAATTTAGAAAAATAAATCATCAAAATTCACCATATAAATGGTGTAAAGAAATACTACCCTGTGGTTCATTTCAATAGATACAGAAAAAACATCTCAACAAAATTTACCAGCCATTTAGAATAAAAACTTTCACCAAAGCTGAAACAGAAGTAAACGTCCCCTACCTGGTAAATATCATCTACTAGGCTGTTGGGAAAGTCATGCATTTTTCTATGTTTTTCTAGGCAAAATGTGTCATGGCTTTCTGACAACCCAATACCAAAAAAACAATAGCTGATATCGCTACTAATGAAACACTACATGCTTTCTACCTCAACTGGAAAGACGGAAGGATTCTTACTCTCACCACTTGCATTCCGCTTTATAGTCATGATACTAGCCAATGCAATAACACAAGCTAAATAAATAGAAGGCATAAAAATTGAAAAAGAAAGTAAAATCATTTATGTAAGTCATAAAGTTATATACATAACAAATTCTAAGGAATCTACAAAATGACTTAGTATAGCTCATAAGAGAATATAATTATAATAAAGTAGCACAAGTCAAGGTTATTATATAAAATTTTATATTACAAATAAAAATTGTAATATAGCAACTAAAAATATTTAACTCAAGTGTCAAAAATATAATTTTTAAAAGGGTATGAAACTCACACTAAAAAGTACAAAATGCAGTTACAGAAATTTTAAAAACTCTAAAATATTATACAATAAAATGTAAAAGGTCTAAAACAGAATACAAAAGTTATATAATACTCAAAAAGATGAAAGACTTAATATTGTGAAGATATCAAATCTCCCCAATAGTTCAACAGATTCGATGCAATTGCAATCTTAATCCTAGCTAATCATTTTTGTGGAAACTAACGCACAAATTCTTAAATATATATGGCTTTGCAAAGGACCTGGCAATTACACAATCCAGAAAAAGAAGGACAAAGTTGGAGAGACAACTAACTTCATGTGTTACTAGAAAATACTATAGTAAAGATGACAGTGTAGTAACAGCATAAAGATCCATAAATAGATAAAGAGAATAGAATAGAAAGTTAAGAAATACTCCCCCACTTAACACGTTCTGATTTTCATCAAAGGTGCCAAAATGATAAGGGGAAAACATCTCTTAACAAACAACAGCAACTTAGCACTACAAGAAAATATCAATACACCATCAAAATGGCTAAAATAAAAAAGACTGAGGCACCAAATATTAATAAAAATATGAAACAACTACAGCCTCTATATACTGTCTGTAGCAACATCACAATGTATTATGGTATCACCACTGTGGAGAAAAAGCATGGCAATTTTTGTAAAATTAAATACACAGCAATTTCAATACTAGGTATTTTACACAAGAGAAATGAAAATATATGGCTAAAAATGATATACAAAAATATTAATAGCAATTTAATTTATAATAATTGATAAGTGAAAACTGTGTATGCAAGTGATTAAACTGTGGTATATACAGGTAAGAAACTGTTAATCAGAAATAAAAAGAAACAGACTACATTTAACAGGTTGCACGAATCATGTATATAGGAAAAGGAAAGACAGGATAAGGCTTAAACAAAATTAGACCAGATGATATTTTTAAGTTATAAGCCAAGCCTTTAACATGGGCTAATCTTACTTAATTCTTAACAATTCAACGTCATATTGCAAATGAAGACTGCAGTAGAAGGACGTTAAATAGGCTGCCCAAAGTCACACCACTAGTATGACTCGAAAACAAATATTTCAGAGCTCCAGAATTCACACCAAAGTTAAACAGAAAAGGTAGTAACTAAATTCCCTAGGTAAGTTTTTAACTAGCCTTAAAAGTTAAGAGGGCACATGCAAAGAGAAAACGCCTCTAGAAAATATCAAACAATATAAAATAAACACCTGTTCCCTGGTGGTTAAGCTTAACACACCTGCAGTGTAGACCTCACTGTCTTACCTTAGGGAACTGTTTTACAGGAATTAACACTTTCTGTCCCAGCTTCATGTTCTTATTAATCACCACATCAATGTACTTTTCTTCATCCTTGCCTTCTCCTTTCTGAAACTTTTCTATTTCTGTGGAGGCAAAAAGATAAGCATGAAGTGTATGACTCAGAACCACGGAGGCTGGGAGTTCTGGTTAGCTCTGTTGTGGCATGAAATCAAATACAGAAATATGGTCAATTAAATTGCTCCATTCTTTCCAAGCAATGGTACATTTCCTGTTTTAATCAGTGATTCTTTAATGCATATATTGTTCACATGTCTACAAAGTTAATAAATCTTAACAGAAAGGACCAACAGTCTAGCTAGCAAACATCAAAATAAGTTCCTTGGGGCCTTCTAGAATTGTAGAGAAAGACTGATTAAATAACAGAGAAAAGCCAGAAACCATTCCCAGTTCGGTGTTACAGAGCTGTGACTGACACATCCCTATTTATCAATCTTGCCTGCTTTCTAAGGGTCATACAACCAAGAGCTGACTGTAAAATGACATTGTCAACAGGTCAGACTGTGGCCCGGGGGTGAAGGTGGCTGAATCCCACACGTCCAACCTTGTGGTTCTAGTCCTGGACCTGATGACTAGATAAACACAAAATACCCGTATGCATATGGACCAAAAACCTTGGAAGGATAGATGGAGGTAAAGGGACTGTGGTGTAACCACACACCATGACAGGGGCAGAAGGGAGGTGCTTTCTTACTTTACTCTCTCTGGTAGACACAGGAACCTTCTGGCAAATCAAAAAAAAAAAAAAAAAAAGACATTAAAACCCCTACACAACCTTCTGCCACACTATAAACTGCATGTTAATGTCTCTGCTAACCTTTTTGAGATATTTTTGTAATGACTTCATCTTCGTCTCCTGTCAACACTCAATCACACAGGAAATCTTATATTTTCAGGCCAGCTAGTGGTGTGGTGGTTACAGTGGCTGGATTCCATGTGGCCGTCTGCGCAGTTCAAGTCCTAACCCAGTGGCTTGAAGAACAATCTAGGCATGTACATGAGTGTCCAAAATTCCAAAGGAGGGAGTAATGGAGGAGGGATTGCAGTGTGACCCTCCCCTATGAAATTCCCCCACACATTCTCTTTGGAAAGTAAGTGTGCCTGGGGGGGGGTGGAATCTTACTTTTTCTGTTTAATTTTCCCTTTCCTCAGTGGAGCACCAGAAGGGAAGGCTCAATCACTCTCATTCACTTGATGTCACAGAGTATCTTATGTAAAGTTCTACTGCTACTCTTAGATGGTAAAGAAAATTGTGGTACCTCTCTCACCAGAACACAAATTTCTCTTACATAAAATGTAATTCTTTATTCAATGACATCTACTACTAAGTACCTACTACGTGCAAGTTCCAGATCCTAGAATATATTAGAAAACTACTTCATTCACTTTATGGCCTATACTATGTTGTTGTACAAGAAGTCCAGAATGAGGTGTCTGAGTGACTATGGAATAAACGAGCACAGGGAGTGTTGCTACCTCTACAGACCAACCACGAGACACCTAGGTCCAAGGAGGGGAACAGCAGTTCGGAAAAGGTACCAAAGATGGCTGCAGGTGTACAAAGCATTAGAATGTTGATCCATTTTCTTGCTGAATGAGGAATGTTTAAGAATTTAAAACATGCCACTGGACAAGGTGTCTAGCATTTTGGACATGATTCAATCTTCACAATGGATGACAAAGAGAAGGTTCAGGGAACTAACTTTAACCATAAATGGCAAAGGTAGGATATATCCCCAGGTGTGTGTGACTCTAAAAACAGTGTGCCACCCGCATTCCTTCCCAGTTTTTATACCATCTCCAACAAAAATAATATTTAAAGGCATCTAGGGGTAAATGGAGGATGTGTTTAAACCTGAAGGTTTCAGGATTGAGGCGTCAGTTACCACTGAAAAAGCCAGTGGGCCTTGCATTACCATTGGGGAACTTGTATTCCATCATATTAACATCACATTGCCTCTAATTTCTTGCTAAATTATTTACTGTCAAACAAAGATTTTGAATATGCAACAAGGAATTATTATAGCTTAAAGGACACTAATTAGGCATAAAGATTTCAAGATTCTAGTGCCAGCAGGTGCTGTGCAGCTTAAAATGGCTGGATCTCACATGGTCAACTGTGTAGTTTGAGTCCTGGACCCGATGGCTTGAAAAACACACCCGGCATGCATGTGTGTGATTCCCAAAGTTCAGACAGGAGAATCGAGAAGGGACTGTGGCATGGCCATCCACCCTGGTGGATGATTTCTGTCTTCCCCTATCTCTTCCCCCCTGTCTCTCTCCAGTGGGCACACATGCTCTATAGCAAACTAAAAAACACAAAAAAAATCTAGAATTTCAAGATTCTAGATCTAGATCTGCTAATGACTGTCTATGTATGTCATTCTGAAAAGTACACCCATTATAATAGGTACTTCATGTTTAAAATGGAAAACAAAACAAACTACAGTATCCAAGATTTGGTTCCACAGCCTTGAGAGTACATGTGATTTATGGATGAATACAAAGACTCTCTCATTGACCAAACTTTAGTGGGTAATAGTTGGTGTTTCCCTGAGTTCTGCAAATCATGACAGAAAATGATCAAACATGAGAGGGAAACTGAACTCCAGAATTTACAGTAGGCCAAGCAGAAATGTGGGTGGCCTGGCACCCTCTTTGTGGCCAATGTGTGAAGTGGGGGGTGATCTCCTGTGACTCAGCCCTGAACCTGTGTGTACCTATGCGCATTCATGTACGTGCAAGCATGCGTGCTGAGGCGGGTAGGGATCTGATGCTAGCTCCTTCAGAATCGAATTGGCAAATACTCAGCTGCCATCTGAGAACTGGTTGATGTCAGAAAACACAATATAATAGGGACTAAAAGTAATGGGTGTGGAGGAATAACCACAGGACCTGAAAATAAGAAAATATGGCTGAGAAAAAAGAATATCAAATTATATTCATATCTGCGGCTTCCCACCAGTTTCTAAGAGGAGTTAAGTAATAAGCTAATTAATCACTTTGTCTATTATTTCTTACTATTCTAAGAAAACCTATATGAGAACTATATATTGAAATAGAAAAGCTTTCATTTTAATTGATATTTTAAAAATAAAAGTCATATCTAAACATTATAAAATTTAAGAGTATAACAGAATATAAAATTAAGGGAAAAAGTTTCTCCTATCACCCCTATTCCAGAGGTGAATCATAATCAACTATATTTTTTACCCTTTCAGAAATTTTCTATAAATAAAGAAACACACACACACATACACACAGAAAATTCTGGAACTAATGATGTAAATAAGCTTATTTAGTTGTATTTTTATTTGTAAAAATACAACATGTCACATGTCAGCTGCTGCATCAAGATAACATTTCATGAACTTAGGTTTAATTAGAAGACAAAATAAAATCCCATCTTTACCTATTTATTCTATAATAAAAATACCTCTGAAATAGCCAAGAGATTCAACAAAATTAGGTATACAGAAGTACCCTTAAACATTTTTTAAATGTATATGTGTCAAAATAAATCTAACTAGCCACCTTTCTTTTCATATAACAAAGTATTTTTATATTTTTTTGAGAACTCACATGAGATGCACATTGTAATATTTACTCCATAAAATTGGAATACAAATATTCTTTCTTTTATCAGTGACACTCAATGTTTTACAATAACTGTGTATACAAAGTCACATAGTAAGATTTAAGAATTAGGAAAAAATTTATTTTAGCATATATCATATTAAAGTTTGAGATACAACTATTATTTTAAAGAGGAAATGAAAGAAAATCTACATAGAATGCCCAATTTCCTCTCACAGCCTGCTTCACAAATCCTGCATTCCTAAACTATATTGTTAATGTCAGATTAAGAATGCTTAAAATTATGTCAGAATATAATATCTGCCTGTTTAAGATTTTTTGCTTAATTTATTTTACACATTTAATCATTGTACATCACCAGAGCCCGTAAAATGAATTTTCCCAGCGTAAATACACTGCAGACCAGTCAAACATACATGTTATCAACTGACACTCCTTCATGTCTGTGTAACTTAAATGTCTTGCCTCTATTTTCCTCCTTGATTCCTTTGCTCTCAAGTCTGGTGCCATATTAAAAGCACATAGGTCTTGGGAGCAGCAGATGGCGTAATGGTTACATCACTGGACTCCCACGTAGTTGACTGTGGTTAAAGTCCCAGACCCCGTGACTTAAAACGCATGCTGGGCATGTGTGTGTGTGTGAGTGTGTGTACACATGCCCAAAATTCCAAGAGTACAATGGAGGACAGGGGACTGCAGCGTGGCTATCACCCCACCCCCTGGGAGTGATTTCTCACTTTCTGTCTCTGTTTCTCCAGTGAGTGTGTGCACCCAAAGCAAAAATCTCTCTAAAAAGAAAAAAAAAAAAAAACAACATGAAAACAAAACAATACAAAAGCACATAGGTCTGCCTTCACCTGACCTAATGTACCATACGGCAATGGAAAGAACCCCGAACCCTGTCACTGCAGGCAAGCAGACCCAGTTTAAACCATGGCTGCTATTATCTTATCAGGACTTCTTGCCACAACTGTAAAATTCAAAGCTCCTCAAAACTTTTTTTTTTTTTAATAGGTGCTGTTCAATCAAGAATTTTGTATTGTCTGCTTTCTAAAGATTTAACAAATAACTGAAAGTGTCCATGAGATTCATTAAAATACAATGTAAAAAATAGGGAACTGTATAGGACGATCCATGGAATCTGCGGGAGCCATCTTGTACGTGTGCCTATCCCTAACTTTCACTGTTTCATGTCCCAAAACTCATGCTATCCACCCCTCCGACCCTCCCTGGAGAGAGAAGGTGCCTGACATCCACCAAGGTGCACGTGACCCTTTAGTTAACCGCAGTGAAGGAAGGACCAACCAACAGAGGAAATCCAAATAGATTTTCAAGGTCGAAAGCATAGGGGATTTGACTTTCACTAATCCCCAGATTACATTTGGTACCATACAGCTTAATGCACCAATACCATCTCCTGGCTCAGAAATAATAAACAAATGTGTGATTAAAGTTTTAGATAACATAG